GATCTCAGATTCGGATTCAGCAGGTCGAAATACATGTCGATAGGTGGGTCTGGTTACAAGCACAAACCCTTGTGCCGGTGTTACTATTATTTTAGAAAATTATTCTTCGGAAAATTTTACTATGGGTCTTCTCAGGGAAAAACTTCATTCCAACAACGTAAAAGTCTCTAAATAATTATTTAAAATAACTACTGAAAGAAGTCTGATGAGGAAATGTGGTGATTTCCGAAATAGTTATCACTTCTACCATTTTTCCACATTATTGTTGCTTTTCCACAAAAGTTTTTCATTAAAAACGGCCTCAAGCGCATTAAAAATTGTTGAATATAATTGTTATAAGGCCATAAAATAACAAAAACAAATAAAAAATCAGCAAAAAAACTTGGTTTTTTCAAAAAAAAATTTTAAATCGAGTTTGGCTGTTATTCCTTCTTGCCATAGATTTTTTGTTAGAATTTTATAGAGACTTTTACATGAAGTTTTTGCCTGAGAAGACCCCTAGTAAAATTTTCCAAAGAATAATTTTCTATAATATATCAATCCTCTAACGACCAAAATTGCCTTTTTCTGGGTTACTTGAAGGCGGGAGCTAATTATTTATTTTAACAATTTTTTCGATTTTTTTTGAAAACTACTTAGGCCGAGGCATGAAAACTTTAGTAGGCCATAACTAACTTTGCAAATCCATCGAGTGTTTTAATACTGGATGGGTATAGTTTCAGAAAATGTTAACCAAGTCCGGGCTGGTTTCGGCTGTCGCACAGTGTTATAAGTTTTTTGATTTGAGGAAATTTGAGTAGATTGATGTAAAAATTGTGTAACTTAAAACTTCCTGTTTCGTTTACATTAGCATTTTAACCATCTTTCGGTCAGACGTTCCGATAACCTTCGTACGGTCGAATGTTGTCTGGCCAGACCCACATACATTTAAGTGTATTTATATGGAAAATAATACCATAAGTAGGGCCCGGATTTTTATGCACTAAAAATCGAAATTATGCGCATATAATATGCACTAAAAAATCAAAAATATAAAACTCAAAAATATTTATTAAAAACAAACAAAATATGCAAAAAGACTTCTCGCATTTGTTTTGCTCTTTTAATTTTTTTTTATCTACTTTTCATATTTTATTACATGTTTAAAATTAACACAAGGATATATTGTAATTTTCACGAACAACTCAAAATAATTAAATATATACATATCTAAAACTTTAAAATATGTATTAAAAAAATTATGCACTTAAGGTAAAAAGTAAAAAAAAATCATTTACAATAAATTAAAAACACATATTTGTTTTCCATAATGTTTTTTTTTTTTTAATTTGCTTTGTTCAGGGCTTTATTAGCAAACAAGAAAATATTTCTTTAAAGTTTTCATTCCTATTTGGCCGCAAAAATGTTTTGTATAAGAAGAACGTTCTTTCTACGTCAACACTGGTGATTAGGGCGTACTTGAAGCAAGCTATTTCATTGGTATTATAGCTTGTAAGCATGGAACACACGATTTGTACATTTATACAGATTAGTACAATTTGGCAGTCACATAGTGGTGGTGTTAAGAAATTTGTGCTCCGCTCAATAAAAGAATTTGCAGACAACACCACTCTGTAACTGCCAAAATGTATAAATGTACAAGTCGTATGAGCCCTGCTTAACAGCTGCCACTTGCGGCCATTTAGCTACTTACTCTTAGGTCCCTAAACCCCTTATTTTTTCTAGAATGGTATCCAATTTTTCTATAGTTTTTTGCCCAAGTTCTCCCTGCACACCTTGAATAGTAGTAACAGCAGTCTCCGCAAGATGCACTTTTTCAGCCAATGATTCAGCAAATTTTAAAAATACTTTTTCAATTCGATATTAAATCGTCAACATCACTGAAGCGAGTTCTTACATCTTCAGCCACTCGATGCATTGCGTGCCAAACAAGTAACGTGCAGTAACTTTGGGTAAAATACCTTCACTGCCTTTGCTGATTTTACCAAATCGAGCTCTAACCGCCAAAAAAACGTAAGCGACATATTTTTCAAAAATTTTCTTTTTGATGCAGAAATGCCCCTAGAGCATCTAGACGCAATTCTGCATCAAAAAAATAAAATGGAAAAAATTTCGCTTACATGTTTTTGACGGTTAGGGCTCGATATATGGCGCTGCGTCGGTGGCATTAAAATAATTTTCGACGAAATCAGTACGCAATAGTTGTATAAAATCATCAAATGCTCTTGCAATTGCATTTAAGGCGAAAAATGGTACATAATGGGAAAGGGGGCGTGGCACCGCCCATACAAACTGAAATTCTTATCGCTTATCTGTTGACACAGCAACATATGTTGTCAATACCGTACTTATGACGAAGAGTGGTAGATTTTGGAAAAGGGGGCGTGGCACCGCCCATACAAACTGAAATTCTCATATCGGTTATCTCGGGAATCACTTATTATAAGCTAATGGAATTTTATACACCTACATTTATACACATATAAAATCGCAAGAATCATTCAATTGGGTACCATTTTCTCCCAGATATTAAAATCGCATTGAGTGATTGTTGTTTTGTGCAAAAGTTTTTAGAAGGATTGAGAGCTATCCTAAATAATCATATTTATGATCAGATTTGTTTCACTTTTAGAATACATAGTAACATAAAATTTGGTGTAACTTGGTAGCCCAGTCGTGTGATGAGAAAATATGGGGCTTTGGCCCAGTCTTGACAAAAAAACGTGTGAAACCACCGTTAGAGAAGGAAATATTATCTTTTGTTGTAAACCTTCAAGATACTTTCTCAACCATTACCGATTCTAATAAAAAAAATAAAGAGTTTATGTAGATGTGGGCAATTTAGTTTTTAACCTCCAAGAGGCTCTGAGACAAATATAATCTAAAAACGTATTTACAGTCTGAATTGGTATATGTTTGACATATTAGTCAGTGATGAACATCTCATCTATACATACAAATACATATGCATATTTTTATAAATGAAAATCGAAGTTCCTTTTTCGGTCTAATTTCAAAAGCTACTGAAGAAATTTGGAGGAGACTTGGTAAAATTAGCATTAATCAATCCGGTATTAACGTTCATAATTCGATTTTAAGTTTTCCTGTAAATTCGCTATAAAATTATGCTGGTGGGCCTCAAAATAGTAATTCGCATAAAGGAGTTAGTATTGGTGACAGGTAAAATTCAAAAGTGTATGAAAAAAGATGTCGAATTTCGACAACTGGGCGATACTAGTAATTATAAATCGTGCATGGTTTAATTATCTTTTTTCCTTCTTACCGGTACTGACATGTGAAAAAAGTGCCATATTTAAAAGAAAAATATTTTTGGGCTTTCAAAGGATATCAGTGTTTTTAATAAAAGTACCTTAACAAATTGGATACGTTTGTTGTTGCCGAGTGCCCTCCAAGTTAGTCCTATCACTGGAAAATTTTTTTGATGTTTTTGTTCGTAAAATACATCGGCTACCACGACCCATAAATTACAAACAAGCAAATTTTAATATTCCGATAACGCTACATTATCTAATTGAATTTTATTGTCATGGGTAATTTCGGAAAGACGCCCAATCATTCATTCCCTTCCGGATTAGTTGTTCGACAATTAGTAACAAAACATGTTTTCAATACTTCTTTTTACTCACATATGTACGTACCCTGCAGGGAAAGCTACCAGTTTTGAACTAGAATGCTACCAGTTTGCGTTTCAGCTTAACTAGTTCACATTGCATAAGTCATAAAGTAAGAATAGTCAATTGTAATTGAGATTAGTGAAATGTAAATGAGAAAACGTCAAATGAAAATGCGAAAGCGTCATTTGGAATTGAGAATAGTCAGTTGTAAATGAGAAAGTATTTTTTGTAAATGATAATAGTTAATTGTAAATGCGAAAGTGTCAGTTGTAAATAAGAATAATGAGTTGTAAATGAGAAAGCTTCAAATGGAAATGCGAAAGCGTCATTTGTAATTGAGAATAGTCAATTGTAAATGAGAATTGTCAATTGTAATTGCGAATGTGTCAATTGGAAATGAGAATAGTTAATTTTAATTAGAAAAGCGTCACATGAAAATAATAATAATAATATATTGGCGCTTACACATATGTTAGTGTTTGGCCGAGCTTCTCCTCCGATTTGTGGCGTGCCCCTTGATGTTGTCGCACAAAGCGGAGGGACCTACAGTTTTACGCCGACTCCGAACGGCGATTGTATTTTTTTGTATGAGAAGCGTTTTTCATGGCAGAAATACACTCGGAGGTTTGCCATTGCCTGCCGAGGGACGACCGCTGTTAAGAAAAAACAATTTTTCTATATTTTTGCGATGTTGCTTTGACCAGGGTTTGAACCCAGGCGTTGCGGAGGGGAAGCGCGCGCTGCTTACCACTAAACCACAGCGGCCGCCACACACATGAAAATGCAAAAGTGTTTTTTGAAAATGAGAAAGCGTCATTTCGAAATGAGATATAAAAGTTAAATCATTATGTACCATACAATAATTAATTTAAAGACGCTTATCTCGGTAATAATTATTTAATGAAGTCGCTGTAAAACGAGTTTCAAAACGGGGACTTAAATTTTTAGAAGATTATGATCTTCATCGTTGCAGTTTGCAAATTACGTCTTATTATTACAGTAACAAACTAAAGTTAAGAAGTCAAGAAATTAAAGCTGGCCGATATTCCGATGAAAACTATCTTGGTCGAGTTCCGAAAAAACTTTACCACGAATTATAAAGTCCATATTTTCGTCAAAGAATACTCTTTTGATTGTTTGGTAAGTTTTTCTGGTTATAACCTATGTATACACATCTGTAGTTCATAATGACTTGCTTGAATCTGTTTAAATCATTTACTCGACACTGTCAATAACTATGTAATGCGTTTAAGGCCAAACAATCGATCGACAGGGAGCCCCTTCAAAAACGAAACATGTAGTGCATGGATAGCCTCTGTTTTGCATCGTTGGGATGAGCAGGGAAAACACCTGGACGACTTAGAAATGGTATTTGATAATGATACATGTCACCCCAGAATTGAGAATGCTGTGGGTGATCCTTCCGATGGACGAGCACAACTGCTACGTTTAGCGCGATATTCCCCCATTCTAAACCCCATTTGGGGTAAAGTAAAAATGTATGTGAAGGGGCGCATCTGCATCTCAAACCCACTGGTAAACGTGCCAAATTTTGTTGAGCAACGGCTTCAATATTTTGAAAAGGGGGTGGGTGACGGCAAAAGCAATAGGGCTATTCGCGATCCGGTGCAAATGGCCTAGCATCATTGCATTGCAAATTTGTATTGCAAATTATTTCCAGACTAAAGAAAGTAGACTAAATCGAATTTTCTTTTGAACATGTTGCAAGTTCATCTGGATTCGTTCTACCAATTTTCCATTTCACCATAGTTGGACATTTACAGCAATTCGTTAAATGTTTTGCCATTTTATTAACAATTGGCCATTTATAAACCGTATTGCAAGCAAGTAAATGATTTTGTATCACTTGCACTATATGTAAAATGCTTCCATATTTTTTGATTTTTAGATCTTCCCATGACTGAGCCTAAAAAAGTTAAAGTTTATTTCACAACTATTAGTTTGACTAATAAATACATACATATAAATGTATCTGCTCCGCAATTTTCATACAATTTAATCCGCTTTTTGATATTTAAAAGCACACGTGCTTAAACAGCATTAAACATTAAAAAATTATAAATTTTAAACGACGTCAACTGATAGTGTTAGCCGTGGTATAAAAAAGAAGGTTTATACCAATGTAAGAACCACATTTCCAATAAACCGATTTGACTCAACACATATTTCTTTCAAAAGTGTATACCTGTGTCTTTATAGCGCCCTCGCCGAAACCGTATTCAAAAGTAAACAAAATTTGTTGTTTTCTTTCGATATTTCTTTAATAATTAATTTGAGCGATTGACCGAAATGCGAACAGTAAGTCAAATTTATTATAATAATAATTCAAATTTAAAACGGGTGTATAAAGAAATTAATTAAGAAAATATTTTTTTAAAAATAATAAAAAGAAATAAGTTGCGCATTTGGAAGCTGCAAAAATACCACCTAACGATATCGAGTTTGATTGGCTGGAGAATTTTGCAGGTTACCTTGTGTCGAAAATGGGTTTGGAGGAATTCGGTTTCAGGACGAGTGAAGGGAAAGACAATAATTCACTTTCGTTAATTGCATATCTGAAGGAGGTCTTTTATAAACCAAGTGCTGATTTTTTGAATCTTTTGGAGTATTTAACTCGAAATTTATTGAAATTAATGGTGAAAAATTAACAAGTCCAAATTAAAAAAAAAAATGTATTGTGCAATTCAATTGATGATGCAATTGATAGGTTTGTTGAATTTATTACCTAAATAAAAACATTTAATAATGTTAACGCAATATACATACATAAATTTAGATAAATTTTCAGTTTTGGGATAGGGATGAGAATTACCATAAACGTAAGTACATATGCCATTATCCTTTGTACTTCGAAGTAAAATTGCATTCTTTATATGTACTAATTTACATCCATTTACTGTGAAAGAAACTCCCATCTAGAAATTCCCTAATTTATTTTTAAATATTAACAACATGGTAACGCTGCTAGCAACATGAACACATTATGAGGCTTCAAAAATCGCAGTATCCGTCAAAAAGTTGTTTAAATATTCCGTTTTTACCCACAAAGAGTATTTAACCAACCATCTCTAGCAATGAGAAATAATGCAAAATTTGTTTTATTTCCAACCTTTGTTGGAATTAAAGCAAAACTCAGATTTTGGTAATGTTTCCCAATTAAAAGAGAAATAAAGCAAATTTTGCGTTATTGCCATTTGTGTTATTGCACCCCCCTCCCCCCACGTCGGACATCATGCTGGTATAGCTTTTCAGTTTATTGAATGATCATTATTCATAAGTGAAAAATTAAACTCAATAATAATTTCTATCTTTGAGCGAAAAATCGAAATCATAAAATAATCATTATTTTTTATCGAAAAAACAAAAATGAAGTAATAATAATTTCCTTTCAGCGAAAAAATAAAGTTCAGATATTAATTATTAAAAAAGCATAATTTATTGGTTAAACTCAAGAAATAAAAATCATTGTAAATTACAGTACGACGTACGAACACAAATACGTAAGTATTATTAAAATTGTTTTACGACGATTACAACTATTTGATTTTTTGGGTTAAAATTTAAAAAATAATTACTATTTTCCGTCCCTGACAGAAACCATGAAAGCAAGTGTGAGCGCTATTGATTTCGATTCAGTAATTTGGGAGAAATTAAGGAATTTCAATCCTTTTATGTGAACATAATTTAGACCAGCGTTGCCAGGTTGACGTTTTTAACGTCATTTGAACGTTTTTTTATCCTGTTGACGTTTGGACGTTTTTTGTGTAAAAAATGACGTTTTTTACCTTCCCAGTAATTTTTCTCTATGAAAAATATATTCAGTGTATAGCGTACTATTTGCTTGTAGAGTAAGTACTTACGCTCACACTTTCGGATCTCATGAAATTAAATAAATGTTCGTGCTTAGGCCTAAAGTTAAAGCATAATAAGCGTTTACTTGAGTTTTTTGAAATGTATTCATAAAATTTTTTCTAAGCAGTATATATGAATTTATGTACATATGTATGTACATATGCATATATACTTTACATATGTATGTATGTACTTAAATTTAAAAACTATCTGAGAAATGTTTAAACAAAATGTATTTACCTATGTATAAAATGATTTTTATATTAACGATATCAAACCAGTTTACAATGAATTTTTACATGTGCTCTGTCGAAACGACATTTTAATATACCTTTATGTACAATAAAAGTTTAATAAGAACATTTCTGTGTGCATGCATTTGAAAAAGACGTTTTTCGGTAGGAAAATGACGTTTTTTCAGACCAAGAGGCACGTTTTCTCATGCCGAAGACCTGGCAACACTGATTTAGACGAACTTTTTAACAAAGAAATCATACTTCACATACTTCGTTAAATTCGTTAAAAAATTACCTTTTTTGTCGGTAGGTTTTCCACACATATTTACTACCGGGCCCGGTTTTTCTCTTGGCGGCCCTGTATATACATATATATATGAATTCAACGGCAGGTGATTCGATATTTTTAAATCACCATAATCAATCATCAATTAAGTGAAATCATTCGCCTACTCTTATGGTACCTAGAAAGTTAGCTGACGCACGCTTCAGAACAGTAAATTTTAAAATTTTTACTGACTTAGCGACGACATACATACATATATGTATGTACATAGACATGCATACATACAAATACATATGTATGTATAAGTAGTTAGATAATAAATTGGGGATTTCAATTTGCAATTCGGCATACGTATGTACTAAACACCTTCACATTGGAATCGTCTGAACTTTTCAAAATCTTTAGCCTAACACTAATTAGGGATTAATTATAAACAACGAAACGATAAGTAACCACTGAATCAAATTATTCATATTTATCTCTTTTTCATTTACAGAATGCCTTCCTGCCCGTTATATACTAGCCATACTAGGCTCTTGTGGTATGGCGATCATTTATGGTCTGAAAGTAAATCTCAGTGTCGCCATGGTAGCTATGTTGAATCACACAGCCATCGAGGCAGGACATAACATTGAACATACAATTCATAACACGAGTGTCGTTATTCAATCGCAAGAAGAAGTTTGCGAGAGCCCAGGCGGTGGGAGTGCAAGCAAGCAAGAGGTTAGTATCTTAACCCTGGAAGTGTTTCGCTCTTTTGACCATGTCGGCGGGCTTTGTTAGAGCGCGGTTACCCACGAACGTGTACGTTGCGTAGCGTGGAAGTACGAAGAAACATATCAAGTTTGCTGTTGATAGAAAGAGAGAGAAGCAACGTATACGTCACGGTCACGCCGTGGTGATTTTTTGTTGACACACAGATCCCATAAGATAGATCGTGTCAGCTGACACGTTCTCCGTTTTTACGTCCGTGGGCAACTGCGCTTTTAGTCGAAGCGACTAACACCACCTTTAGGTTTAAATAAGAAATAAACAATAGTTAAAAAGGAAATTCGTTTGATGATTTTGAGTTTTTGTTTATTTTTTAAACACATTAGCAAAGTATTAAATACATATTCTTTTCCCCATTACATATAATACACAAAAAGGTAAATGACTTCAGTTTTTGTACTCTTCTAAAGATCATGTTATACAAAAGGCTTATTTTTATACCCGAGCGCACTTGTGCACAAGGGTATATTAATTTTGTTCACATAACGGTTGTTTGTAACAGCCAAAACGAATCGAGATAGATATACACAAATGTATACATAAATGATCAGAATGGAAAGAGAAATCGACATGTGTATATCTTGGTAACCGCTGCACCAATTTCTTTCAAACTTGGCACAGTTGTTGGCCTTCCTACAACATACCAAATGGCCGAAAATTTTTAAAATCGGACAATAACCACGCCCACATCCCATATAACGGTAATTTAGAGAAATACAAAATCTTCGATAAATCAGTAAATGCTAATTTATTCAAAATTGATGCTTGCAACAATTCTTAACCAAGAAATACGTCTGTAATAAAATTTTGGAAAATGGGGGTGGCACCGTCCACTTATGATCACATATATGTATCTCGGTAACCGTTCAACCAATTTGTACCAAACTCGGTATGGTTATTGTGCTTGCCACATAAAAGCAAAACGTTGAAAATCATTGAAAGCGGACTAAAATTGATAAATACTTTTTTGGCAATATTTACAGCATGACTTAGTCATTCGGTGCTTTTTATAATCACAAAAGCTGCAAATCTTCCTTTTTGTATGTTTTCTGTAGCAATACTTTGTATTTCTTCTTGAGGTAGTATATTTTCGATATTTCGACGAAGTTTATTTGATAATATTAGGGTCACAGTTGCGTCATATGTGGCTAAACCAGATCACTGTATAACTTCTTAAGAAAATTTCTCCAAGATAGTGGCTTCTTATTCGAGTTTAACACATAAAAATGTAAGTAAATTACGTATCTATTAATGAACGCCATATTTAACATCTCATAAATGCATAGCGGCCAACGATTGGTCTTGCGTAAACACGACATGACACTACACATCTGATCGAGAGTGTCCACGCCACCTTTAGTTTTATTGTAAAGCTCGACCATAGAAGGCTTACCAGTAAACTCATTAATTGAAGCTTCTTCATTGCATGACGATAAAAGCTAAACCATTTTGCTTGGTTTGGGTTTATAGGATAGTAAAGTTAGATTATTATCAAAACAGAACATAGATGTTCCTCCAGAACGACCTCTCTGGTTACGAAACTCATTCAAGATTTTTCTTTTAGTACCGCGCAACATACCGACAATACTTAGCTTATATGGTTGTTGTATACGATTTTTTGCAAGCTCTATCGAAGTGAACAAGTTGTCCATCGTTATGTTCCTGTTACTTCCATAAACCGGTTTTGTAAGTTCCTTAACAAAGTATTCGGCTATAGGTAAATTTGTCATGTTAGTCTCTTTACCCAAATAAGAATGGCGTTTACCATATAGTTCGTTCCACTATCACACAGCATGACAATTTTCGGCCCGTATTTTGATGGCTTATTGGGAATGTACATTCGAAAAGACGAGTGACCGCGAAAAGCGAGCAGATGCTCATCTATTGTCAAATATAATTCTGGATTTTAGTTTCCACGACAGTTATCAATAATAATATCCCAGACATGTCTTATATGAGTAAATCTATCGCTTATGCGAGCAATTCTAGTCATTTTGTCATCAAACCGTAATGATGTCAATAGATTCTTGAACCGCCTCTGACTCATAGTTGCTGAATATCTCGTTCCAGAGTAGGAAGTATCAAACAATGTCAATGTAAGCAAGCCAACCAATGCGCATAACTCAGTGGCGTTTGATGGGTGGCTCGCTACTTCGTATATAAAGACTGTCCCAGAAAAAAACGACCTTTCTTGCACACATTTGTTTGGCCTTGGTAAGCATTGATAATAAGAAAAAAATATTTACAGCCTTATTCTGTATCACGAACGGTAGGCAACACGAACGATTCATCTGCAGAGGAATGCTTCAAAAATTAGTCCGGCGGCATCATTTTAGCCGGTTTAAAGCCAACCGAGACCATTGCAACGTAATGTATGAAAAGCAAGACGAATACGACTGATAGAGTTTAAAATCGCAATCTGAGAGGTTGTCGTCTGCAGACGAATCGTTCGTTTTGCCTATCGTTCGTGATACAGAATAAGGCCCTTATTCTACATTTACAAATCTGTCAAAATGAGTACTGAATCCAAATATTTACTAGTTCGTCCCGTCCGAAAATGTCGTCAAAACAAGAAAAAGTTCGGAGTTTAATTCTCTCCAAATCTTCTTCTTCTTATTTGGCGCTGTAACCGCCTAAGCGATTTTGACCGAGTTCAGCAAAGCACGCCAGTCGTTTCTCTTCTGTGCCAAGTGACGCCAATTGGAAAGGCCAAGTGAAGCCAAGTCCTTCTCCACCTGATCTTTCCATCGCAGTGGGGGCCTCCCTCTTCCTCTGCTACCACCAGCGGGTTCCGAGTTGAATACTTTCTGTCCATTCGAACGACATGTCCAAGCCAGCGGAGCCGCTGTATTTTAATTCGCTGCATTATGTCCATATCGTTGTAAAGCTCATACAGCTCATCGTTCCATCGTCTGCGGTACTCGCCGTCGCCAACGCGTAAAGGACCGTAAATCTTCCGCAAAATCTTTCTCTCAAACACCCCAAGAGCCGCCTCATCGGATGTTGTCATTGTCCATGCTTCTGCGCCATATACCAGCACGGGCATGATGAGTGACTTATAGAGCGTGGTTTTCGTACGTCGAGAGAGGACTTTACTCCTGAATTTCCTACTCAGTCCAGCAAGTAGCACTTGTTGGAAAGTGTGATTCCGTTGGATTTCAATGCTGACATTATTATCGGTGTTAATGCTGGTTCCCAAGTAAACGAAATTCTCTACTTTCTCGAAATTTTAACTGTCAACAGTGAGGTGGGTGCCAAGGCGCGAATCTGACTGTTTATTTGATGACAGGATATACTTCGTCTTTTGTTCGTTTACCACCAGACCCATTCGCTTTGCTTCCTTATCAAACTTGGAAAAGGCAGAACACACTTCGCGGGTTTTGATACCGATGATATCGATGTCATCGGCATAAGCCAGCAATTGCACGCTCTTGTAGTAAATTGTTCCTGAGCGGTTCAGTTCTGCAGCTCGTATTATCTTCTCCAGCATCAGATTAAAGAAGTCATATGAAAGGCAGTCGCCTTGTCTGAAACCCCGCTTAGTGGCGAACGGCTCGGAGAGGTCTTTCTCAATTCTGACGGAGCTGGTGGTATTGCTCAGGGGCTTTTTACACAGCCGTATGAGTTTTGAGAGAATGCCAAATTCAGACATAGCGGCGTATAAGGAACTCCTTTAAGTGCTGTCAAAAGCAGCTTTAAAGTCGACAAATAGGTGGTGAGTGTCGATCGTTTTCTCGCGGGTTTTTTCCAAGATTTGGCGTATTGTGAATACCTGGTCTATGGTGGATTTGTCAGGTCTAAAGCCACACTAATAAGGCCCAATCAGTTCATTGACGGTGGGCTTCAGTCTTTCACATAATACGCTCGATAAGACCTTGTAACCTATGCTTAGAAGGCTGATCCCGCGGTAGTTGGCGCGAATGGCGGGGTCTCCTTTATTGTGGATTGGGCAGAGCACTCTTAAATTCCAGTCGTCGGGCATGTGTTCATCTGACCATATTCTGACCAAGAGTTGATGCATTCAGCTTATCAACTCCTCGCCACCGTACTTGAATAGCTCAGCTGGCAGGCTGTCAGCTCAAGCAGCTTTGTGGTTTTTCAGCCGCGTTATTGCTATTCGTACCTCGTCGTATTCTCTCCAAATACTTAGAAAATATAGAAAATAAAAAAAGGTTCCGCTAACAAGAAATTGGCGCAAGAGGTCAAGAAGAAATGTATGCAAAAACCAAACACCTCTATTCGAGACATGGCGAAAATTGTTGGAACCCCCAAATCAACCGTAAAAGGAGTAAAACAAAACTTGAAATTAAAAAGCTACAAGGTTCAGAAAGTACCCAATGGATCAGAAAAGAAGGAATAACTAACTGGCTAAAAAGCGTGCCCGAAAACTCTATGAGCAATTTCTCACTAAATTTGATTGCTTAGTAATGGATGACGAAACTTACTGTAAAGCTGACTTTTCTCAAATACCCGGTCAAGGATTTTCATTTAGAAAGGGCATCGTTAACAAGAAATTTTCAACTCAGAAGATTGGTAAATTTCCCAAGCAGCTTATGGTCTGGCAGGCGATTTGCAGCTGTGGCCTTAGAAGTTCGGAATTTGTGACGCAGGGCACAATTAAGTCAAACGTTTATATAGAGAAATGCTTGGAATCGCATTTATTGCCATTTATTCGCAAGCACCGAGGTTCTATTTTGTTTTGACCTGATTTAGCTACAAGGCATTACTCAAGGAGAACGATGGACTGGTATCAAGAAAATGGGGTAACAGTTGTACCGAAAGAGGCTAATCCACCTAACTGTCCCGAACTTCGGCCGATCGAGAAATATTGGGCTCTTATGAAGAGAAGCCTTAGAAAAACAATAAAAATTGCTAAAAATACTATCGATTTCAAAATAGATGGAAAAATGAGTACAAAAATGTAGACGAAAGTACTGTAATAAATTTAATGC